ACAACTGAAATTAGTCCTCAACTTTTAACAACATAACAATAGCATCTTTTATCCCTCAATTGCGTGGAATTCTTCATCTACATACAACAAGTTGAAAAAATACACTGTGTTTTGAGCAAAGAAAAGATTTACAGGGAAGGGGGCAATGCAGGAACAGTATCACTGACTAATAAAAGTGGCCCATCCCAGGATGTGTAGCAGGGCAGAGGATTTAATTGAAACAAAAATCTGTAAACGAGGCAAGCTCTTGGTACATATAATAGCAATAAGGCTGTACACTTTGAAGTAGAGCTATATACCGTGGTGTAATTATAATGGTGAATAATATTTATAATGTAATCAAGAACCCATAATTTTAGCTTTACTGGTTGCCCATAATCTAACCTTAACCATGAAATTATTAATCAACCTTTGTAACAAAATAGCTACACAATTTTTATCATATAATATGCATATATGCAAAATGCACACACTAATCTTCAATGTTTTTCCTACCAAAATTGGTGCATCTACTAGCACTGATATCATTCAACTTCTCAACAAAAATAGAAATCTATGAACAGAATTATTTTACATTCAGTCATCTTCCGCTTACAGTATTTAACAGGAAAAAGAAAACAGAAATATATTTATCTATCGGAGTGAATTTTCAGCCAGAACCAATGGGATTTTCCCCATACATTTAATTTCAGATATTTTTTGTGCCCATCAAAGTAAAATATATCAGTTTACATTTCCCATGTCACCATCCATATCATTTCTCTGAGTAAGACTGCCAATTAGTGCTGAATTATGTGTTGTGTTGTTTGTGTTGTGAATTCACACCCATTGGGAACTAAACTTATAGTCATCAGAAAGAGAAGATTTATTGCCTCAGTCTAAACTGGAGCCCGGGTGTGAAATGTCTCACTCAGCAATCACCAATTACTGTGAGAACACTTGTAAGTGTGCAATCATCCACACTGTAAGTAGTCTTTTTTTTAAAAATATAAAGATAATATTTCACTTTATATGGCTGGACCCCCAAGGACTTTGGCTATATTTGCACAAAGAAATTTGATCTAAAAATCTCCCTTCATCACAGAATAGTAATGGACTTATGATGTCACTGCTTCACTGGATAGTCAATATGACTTTGGGTTCAACTTTGTGGTGAAAGCCTAAGCCATGAGGTTGCCATGAAGGATGTTATACCGTACTCAGTAAATTATCAGTGAAATGGGGTAAATCCCAGGTCATTAATAACAGAGATAAAGAAATAACAATGGCGGGATAGGCCCACCAATATTGCTTCCAGGCTACCAAACATTTTTCTACTAACAAAAGCCAGAAAGCAATATGCCATGACTTAATTCTTATTTTCTATCCCTGAAATTTCACTGTATGCATTTTCACTATTGAATTAATTTATATTTTGGGCATTGATATTACAGTATACATATGGAGTCTCTTGCTGTGGACAGACGCGAGTAAACTCAGTTTATTCAGAATTAAAAATGTTGTAGCTTCCATGATAAATTGCAATGGAATGTCCACTTTAGTGGAGATATTTCCAGACATATCTGTCTTACAATGTCTTCAGACTTTCAATTGAATAATCTTTGATAGTGCTTTGGAAGGAAGTAAACAAGGTCATTAATCTGCACTAGAGATGACCTGTCTCCTACCACAATAAATTTTGTCTGGAGAGGGCAATAAGTGCTAGACAGCAAAGTTGTTTCCTTGTAGTTTGGTTTAACCTCTTATCTCCTGAAATTCCTCTTTGATTTTGCAGAATATGAACATATTGTTCTAATGTCCAAAGAAAGTATTTAATGATATTTTGGGAGTGAAAAATACATAATTTCATAACAGAATTTGTTATCACATCAAACCTATTATGAAATGCCTTTTTGTCTTTATGCTAGAGAATTTTGCTAGATAGAATAATACAGTTTGTGCCATAACATTGTATTCCAATTGGTAGTGAAACATTTGGATATATGACTGATCTCTGATTGAAAAGGAACAGAGGATATGTGTTTGAGAGAGAAATGGCATAGAATAAGACTCTAATTATGTTGTTGAGACTATTATAAGACTCTAGTTATGTATGGGTTCAATGAATAAAGGATTCCTGAATAGAACTGCTAGTGTGATATTCATATTTGCACGTTACAACAACAACTTGCATTTATATTGTGCCCCTCACGCAGAGCAGCATCTCAAAGTGCTTAAGTAACAGCATTTACTTACACAAATACAGAACCCTACACCTAGTATATCTGGTGAAGAGCCTTGAGATGTCCTCCCATTGTGAAAGGGCTATATCAAATGTAATCATTATTTTTGATTTGGTATCAGGATACTTTTCATAACACATAGAAGTCCTTGAATCAATTGTTCCCAACTGCATCTTATTCTTATGCCACTTAATATATCAAAATAATGTTAAAAAAATGAAAAAATAAAGAATTATAAACAAACAGAAAGAGAAGAGCTTGTGAGCATAGTGTGTTTATTCTGTAACATGCTGTGCCATGAAATGGTAGAATGCACATGATTCTTCATCCGGCAAGGATCTTGATCTTTGATATGCTGTCGCAGAGAAGCATCAAGTGAAGGTGAAGTGATTTCCCATAGGAAGAGGGGAAACTTTGGAGGGTGAGTCAACTTGTGCCACTCTTATTCCCCTTTTATCATCATCTTAAACAGAATGTATTATATACTTACCAGTCAGTATACAAGAAGGGATATACAGATTTCAGCTTCTCACATTGAAATTGTGTATTTTAACTTCTGAGTTTCCTTTTAATATTGATTGTTGGATTCTCCAGCCTCATTGTTTCTTTTTGCAAGAATTACTTTGCAATGTTACACCTTTTTTAACACCATTATAATTTAGTTCTTTTAGTTCCTTTCTTAAATAAAATCAAGACTTAGTCTGGAATTACTTTAGGTGTGTCAAAACAGTAGAATAAGAGCCTTCAACCACTAGTTTACTTCCCTCCTTAAATCATTCCGATCTATTTGTGTTTAAAGATTTCAGAGAAAATACAACTATCTGGAATTTAACTAGTATTCAAGATAATTTAGCACATTTGCAGAGCTGTTTCTATTGAACCTCATGAATACCCAAGAGTTAATCAGCACTCTTTAACTATGCTGTTCTGTTTGTTTCATCAGTTTAAGTTTCACTCATAACTAGTTTCGACCATTTTATTGTTAGGTTAATAATTTCATTAATTTGTTGTTTATTATTATGCTGCATGCAGAATTTTTTTATGTCAAATTTGTCACAAGATATGAAAAAATACTTTTGATGCTTCAATAATCTGTTTTATAGCATTTTGGATTTGAAGATTTTTTTCAGCGTGTTACATTCATCTCTTGATCTGGCATTGTTTCATCGATGATCCACTATAATGTAACTTTTATTTGACATGTAATTATACGAAAAAAAAGTCATCTCATGTCTCATCTTGTACTATTTCAACTGTTTCATAGCTATCAAAAAAAAGTTCAAACTTCATTCTGGAGTTTGATTTATGTCTGATCTTGTGTTGGGTTGTACAGTTCATTAGATGGTCTGAGAGATTTTGAAAGTTCTTCACTTGCTTTTGTCAGCATCTGTGCTTCAACAACAACAAATTTATACAGCGTCCTTCACGCAGGGTAGCATTGCGGAACTTCTCAGAGGTTCACCCCTTGTGAAGTATTGTATTAATCTGATTTGTTCTTTTAATTCCAATTTTAAATAAAATGTCAATGGTCACCAGAACAGCGCAATAGTTCCATTTTGAAATCTGATCACCTGGTCCATCAGTCACTTATGGCGACCAAAAATAGTTCTGTGAAGAATTCGAATTGCATTGATGGTGCTAAACTGCTCAGGTGGCCACAGCTAATGTATAAGCCAGTAAATGGAATTCCGAAGCTCATCTGTGGGTGGCAAAATGAGAGCAAAGGGTACACAAGACCATCCAATGAAAAGATGGAAAGTCTGGTGATGAAGCTTTATTGCTCAGTGATACATTGTCTGAAATGCTGAGATGTGCAGCATTCTATTACTTATCATTTCAGTGTTGTGGCATAGCATTTAGTGAATGTAGCATTTAGTGAATGCTGATATTCTTTAGGAGATAATAGAATCAGATTCACATCAGCTTGGAACATCTTGGATGTGTTCATCTGGGCAAAGGGCAAAGCTCTCCTTTTGTTCTGCAATGTCAGATTACTGTTGCTGTGCTCTACAGCTTTTCACCGTGTCAGTGATAAATTATCACTTCATACAAAATCATGATTTAGACACAAAACCCCAGGTTTATCTTTCAAGAAATATTTGTCATTTCTTTTGAATCGTCATCTTAATAATGGTTGATTTCTCACTAATGCAATAACAAAAAGTGGAATGAGGTAGTAATTTTGCTGTGTCTAATGTTTTTATGCCCTGTAATTTTAACTTTATAATAATAATAATCCTGACATTTGATGTAGCGCCTTATCACGTCTTCGAGACGTCTCAAAGCACTTCATAGAATATACTGTAAAGTGAATGAACTGTATATTTTGTGGGCAAAATGCGGCAACCAATTGTTCACAGCAGTGTCCCACAAACAGTTGTGGATTGAGTGACCAATTTATTTTTATTTATCTTGTATGAAATCCTGCGCATCCTATCCTATGCAGTTCAAGTGGCTTTCAATGAATTGTCTATTAACTAACCAGGAATGTTAGTGAGTGTGATAGGTGTTTATCCAATGTATCCTCCTCCCTTTCTGTTCTAAAAAGATAAGGATCCTTATATTGCCATCTGTCTACACAGAGCAATTATATTTGAATGTCATTTGAGGTGGAAATTTAATTTTAATCTGAACAGAAATTCGGCGCGTGAGCTAGATTTATTGTACCTGATTTAAGAGCATTTTTATTTTACATCTTAGAAAGAATATTGTTTTTGTTATAAAGGACTAAAATTACATTTTCGGAGCCATCAGATTTTAGTTTCTCTATTTTCACAGAGGAAAGGAGATTGGCCATGATGTGGACTTTTTGATAACCTGCCCCGAGGAAGGGAAGGAAGAAGGAATTCTCCATAAAGCAGTCAGTCGGATGAACAATCAGGTAGTTACCACATAATAAAGCAGGAAAGAGATTCACACTATCACTTTCAACATTCAATACTTTTTGTTCATCGATATAAATTGCACTATTTTCTGAAAACAGCAAAAAGCAGGAACTACTACAAGGTAAATATCAATCACAAATTACTCAAAAGTAACAACCTAGCAGTGCCCTTAAAGGACTTTCAAGACCTGAACAATTTTGCTCTCCCATTCATCATCTGACCACGGTTAAGATAGTCCATTGCAGATAAGTCTATGAATAATGGATATATGATGAGTTGAAAAGGTTGAATAGGTCATAAGCCCTGAGACCAAAGAACAAGTGGTTCACAACCATTATCTGAACTCCAATATTAAATTATAATTTCATGTTTTTTTAAAAATCTATACTTTTTAAGTTACATGTGGGAGTTTTGCAACATTTTCAGATTTGCATGAAGCAGCTGACAGTGCAGATCAGTTCCTGTGTGCAATATTAGTGAAGATTAACAATATTAAATTATTAATACATTTTCTGACACCTCATGCTTAAATCCCCAAAAGACAGATTAATGCATGTTGATGACTTACTTTGAGCTTTATTGAAAAATAATTGATGTCTAATTACAGCAAAATAAAATATCCAGTATAGTATTTTGTTATAATCACCTGTCCCAAAGAAATTGGAGTATTGATATCTTGCAATTAGGTCAAAAATGTCACCAGGGAAATAGTATTTTTTATTTATAATCGAACTACTATCCACTAACCAGCAAAATGCTATGCCTTGCTCTGGAAAACAAAGTCTTTCACAGTCAGCACAGAATGTGACAATCGTCTGGAGGCATGGAAAGTAGTGATAAAGTGAAGGTAGCAAGGGTTGACTCCTTGCACCGTAACCTTGTCATAAGAAATCACATCCTGAAAGGGTTTAGCATTAGCAATTAGAAATGGTCTGATACAGCCTCTCTGGCCTTCCATGTCCAAGAGCAGATTTGTCACATGAAATGTCCTTGTAACATGGTTTCTTTTTTTCCGTATTTTATCAAACGTGCAAACTCACACAAGTATGAAGAAAAAGATTGAATTTCACTGTTTTGACAGATGCTGTAAAAATGTTCCAGCTAAAGGTCAATGACAGATGTGCCTTTCTTTATATTTGTGATGTATTATTTGTGAGTCAGTTTGATAATTTTACACTGCTCCTCAGCATTGCTTACAATTCCAGTCAATGATTGACAGGTACATTCTCTTCCTCAGGGCTTACTCTTGTACTATGATATTATAGAGTCCACGATGGAAAAGAACAAAATACCCAGCAAGCAATATGATGTGATGGATAAGTTTCAAAAATGCTTCATGATTCTAAAATTAAACAACACACTAGTTCAAAACAGTGACCTAAATTTGCACTCAGAATCTGGAATCAAACTAGCTTATGAGACAGCAGAACCTGAAAGACAGATCGAAAGTAAAGATTGGAAAGCTATTCGGGTGGATTTGGTTATTGTACCTATTCAACAGTATGCCTATGCACTGCTGGGATGGAGTGGATCAAGGGTGAGTAGACCTCTTCTACTTAACTTCTACTTAAAAATATGCATTGTTTCTAAGGTTTTCATTGCTTTATATTGCAATAAACATTTGGAGGTTGGGATAATACAAAACAATAGTATATAGGAGCATGCCTGCAACTCACCAGTGGGTTAGTCATCACATAAATATTTTCGGCAAAGAAGAAGGCCCCATTGTGCCTGTTCCACCTGCACTATTGTGGGGAGGTATCGAGCTTTTGCTTCATAGAAAGAGAGACAAATCAAAAGGCAATTCAGTGATCTTTATAGCAATCTGTACAGCCTGCTTGTCAGAGGCCTTGGAACAGGCTGCCTGTATTATGTACAACAATGGGAGACAGCAGAAAGAATGCAAAACAAGAAATATAATCAATAGGTAACACTAGGATTATATCTTCTTGTTTGTATCCTCTTGCATCTCTCTTTCATTGTCAACAATCTTTATTTTTAGTCTTGATAGTTTAATCTGTATCTTGATCTTTGCAATTGTTCTCACTTTACATTTATTTTCTGTCATGTTCTTCACGGTCTCCTTCCTTCTGCAATCTTTACCTTAGGTTCTGTCTGTGCAGGTTTCCTTTTCTCTTGTTGCAATCTCTTGCTCTCTCTTTATCTCTAGCTGACACCTGACTGGTGTGCATAGCTTTGCCTTAGAGAATATACAAAGGTTATTGGCTGCATATGATTGGTCAGTCAGCCCTAGTGATTGGATTGTGCTCTGACAATCTCTGAGAATATTTCAAGATCAAAAGTCAGAGTAAATGTTATCTTGAATCTCGGTGACCTTAATATGAGATGTCTCAGTGTCTATTGTAAAGACTAATCATGTGGTGACAGCTGAGACAATCCAATCAGGTATTCATGATTTTGCCAAATTAGACTTTTTCTTAAAGGGCACAGGAGCTTAGGCTACAGTTGAGTGAATTGGGATATTTCCGTGAAAATTGGGATATTCGCCAAGCATACGAACTGTACACCTGCAAAATAATACTCATGCAAAATAACAGATGGTGAAGAATTACAGCAGTGTTTGGGTCATTGATTGGTTAGGGACTTGAAGTCCTTGAATGATGACATACTATGAAACTTATGAAGTTTATGTCCTTCATTTTATTCTATAATTAATACAGATAAGAAACATGTATTCCAGTGGAGTGGTGGATATGGCTTTAGCAGCAGTGGGTGGTGAGGTAAGGGCATAAATGAGCAATGTGGGCAGACTTGGCAATGGGCCAGATGTTGTGGTCAGGTCGGGGACAAGAAGAACACCAAGGTCACCCAATATCTGGTTCAACTAGGATGAGCAGCTTGGAAGGTTGGTGAAATAGAGCCAGAGGAACTTAGGTGTTGCTAAGAACAAACCAGACAAAATGGTTTCAGTTTCATTGATGATATTCAGTGGAAAAAAAAGTTTTGTCTCATGAATGAATGTTCCAGTGTTTTTTTTGACAATTAGACATTAAAACATAATTTTAATCTCAAAATCTCATTTTTCTATTTTAGCATTAAATGCTCATTACAGCCACACAAAACCATTTCTTTTCACATAATGTTGATATATAAAGTAGGTCTGAAATTATATAGTAATTCCTGCAAAATTGTTTGCAGCTCACAATGCAATTAAGTCATTATCAAAATGGAGTAGCTATATCACATAACATGTCAATTGGGATTAATTTCTATCCAAAACAGAACTTTAGAATCTCTCAGGCTTCAGACAATGAGCAATAAAATTATACCTAAATAGTTAAGCATGGCAATTTAGGAATTTACCCTCTAGATCAGTGGGGGGCAACTTTTTTCGTCAGCCAGCCAAATACATATTTTTTATTGAATATTTCTTGATTTATGGCCACACCATCAACATCAGGCCTCAGTAGCTACTGGAAACAAAACATTGATTCAAAACAAACTCACCTAGACTAGTGCAAATGTTCAACGGGCCACTTCTTGATGTCCCAGGGACTACATTTGGCTCGCGAGCCATCGGTTGCCCACCACCACTACATGTTCCCTTTAGGATATTGATAAAATGCAATATGTTTATGAACTGATTTAATTAATATTTTATCATCTTTGGTTCTTAAAATACAGCCAATGTTTGTAGTTTGTATTTAAAAATATATCTAAAAATAGATTTGAGAAACAGGGCTAGTTATTTACTATCTGTAGCTTTTAAAAAATACACCTAACCTTACTCAAATCGATTTCAAAACGAGAAGTAGTTATGCTTGACATACTGTAAGGGTGAACTCGCGAAACTCGCGAAATGTTGCAGAGATGCTTCCTTCTGTGTTCCATTCCCAATGTAACCATTAGAGACATCTCTGTAGTGCTCTGGCATGCGCTTATAGGAAACGCAGGCAGCTGCAAAGCCCTAATTATACAGACCTAGCTTGGCTAGGTGGGTGTGAAAGAGAACATTTTCTTTTTTCAGATTACCGTGACAGAATAATTTAAGCAAAAAAGATTAAAAAGAAACTCCGTGCTTAACTAGAGTCCTGAAAATAAAACTGAGGAAAAACATAAATTCTTCTGTCAATTTATTTTTTATTAAGGAAATTAATTATTAGAGTTTAACACGTCAATTACAAATAGATATTATTCTACATACACTAAATACACTTGTTTTGACTCTCGGATGATCCTTTGAGAAAATATAAAAGAGTTTAGAGAGGCTGGATTGCAATACTGTATTCCATGGAGAGAACTGCTCTATAAAATGTCACAATCTCAAATTCAGGAGGGTGAGGGTGAAATAGACAAATTATTCTACACTGAAGAAGGTTAACTTGTGGAACAATTTGCCATTGAAGGCCAATAGAGTACATGCTGAGCATGATTGACAGTGCCCCTCTCCATACAATATTGCTGGTGTTTCCGACGTTTTCACCCGTGTTATACACCATTTTAGCAAATAACCATAAGCAGTAACCAAGGAAGTAAAGCACACACATGATCAAAAAACCCTTGCTTTTCAACTTAACATTTTGCTAACAAACATAGAAAAGGTCAAAGTACGCATGCACACACTGTGCAAATTTGAGTATAGAGATCACATCAGTATCGATGCCCAACGATGGTATCACTCATTTTTTACTTACTAATCAATTTTGCAATATCTGGATTCCCAATTCACCACATGTGGCTAATGTATTTGACAACCCTGCCCTAGTCCATATCAAACACTCCTTCTTGGGGGGGAAAGTGCACATAGATATTCCCTGAACCCCAGAAATAATCAAGCATTATTTAACCCTGAATGAATTGGCAAATTGATAAATCTAGAGAGTTTATCAATGTTCACTGAATTATCCTATTTGCAGAGAAATGCATGCATTTCTGCAAATAGAGAAATGCATTATGTATGGAATATATCCATGCAATATATGATCAACATGTGAACATGCAATATTTTGCGATTAATCATTTTGACATTCTAATATTGAAAGTGTGAAAATTGAATGTAAATAAATAAGTAATAATAATCCTTGCATTTGATATAGCGCCTTTCACATTGAGAAGATGAAAGATGATCGAAAGCACTGTTAAAAAGATAGGTCTGAAGACGGGTTTAATGGGAGGGAGGGAAGGACTGAGGCAACAACAAAAACAAATTACATTTGTATAGCGCCTTTCAGAGGCAATTTGGGATAGAGTTCCAAAGAACACCAGCGAACACCATTTTCTTAGATTCTAGCAATGGCTGAATGGAGAGTGCATGAAAGCTTGTCCACTGATGGTGGGGGGATTGGGCAAGAGACGTGAAGCAGGTTGATGTTCGCTGAGTAGACAGAGCTTCCAAGATGGTAGGGTTGCAGGATTGTAAAAAAATAATATATTGCTTTTAATGTTTGCCTCCCACCTGTACCCGATAAAACAATTTGCTAGATTCTTTATCTTGAAAAAAATACTGCTTGAAAATCTTTTACAGGAAAGCATTCTGCTCTATTCTTGCATTTTGTTTTAGTTTTACTTCTCTTCTTTGATCACCACATGGAACTCACCATGTGCTGCCTGAGAACAAAGGTTCTCCTTTGATGGCCACCTGGTGCTCAATATGAGAGGCTAAGATAGATTAATCCTTTCTGAGTCTCCCTTCAAGGGGAGTGGAGGCATTTACTTCTGAACTCATCACATACGGAAATGTCTTACTGTTATAATACATTGAAACAGTAGCAGAAAAACGTTCATAACTACTTCTTAAAGAGCACCATTTTCTTTGATGCCTGGCATTAGTGACAGTAATAGGAAGTAATAATGACTTTTTTGTATCTTATCATTTATGTAGCACTTTGAACGTGACCTGAGAAGATTTTCATACCATGAGAAACGTATGAACCTGGACAATCATGTTTTGTACGATAAAACCAAGGTACATGTCCCTTTTCTTTAGACTTTTTCACCTCGTTAAGCATGTTGTTTTAGGTTCTGTTTCTCTACACCTTTGGTGATCTTGAATATCCAGTAATATCGCTCAGCTCCCTCTTCTTTTCTGTGAACATACCCAGTTTCTATAGGCTCTCCTCCTAACCCAGATAACATCTATCAATCTTAATACACTTCATTGTATCCCCTCCATTGCCAACTTGCCCTTATTGTATTTCATTGACCAGAATGCTATGCAATTCTCCAAGTAGAAATAAACCAGTGCCCTGTACAAGCTCAGTATAATTCTTGTGACCTGTGCTGTCTTTAGCTACTCCACACCAACATCCTTTTCACTTTCATTATTGTTGCTGAACACTGAACTGATCGTTTTAGCATGGTGTACAGATATTATTTTATAGAAATAAGGTTTGTTGAGATGCAGAACACAACACGGTAAGTTTTTATCATGCAGCGTAATCAGTCAAAGTAAAGAATAGCAAAGGGTGATGCATCAAGGTTAACACTTGATAAATGAGCTCTTTGGGGGCACCAAGGGCAATGCTAACTTCAGTCACGGGGCACTTGTTTTCTTAGATGGAACAGAATAGAGGCCAGTGCGGTCAACTAAGCATTCTTCAGATCATTTAAGCAGATTTCCAGAGCACTTTTGGGAGCCACAATTATGTAAGAGCAATAGAGAGGAAAAGCCACACAAAGTACAAGATTAAAGACCATTTCCTCCAACAGGATTTATGTCTCACAGAGGCACAAAGGATGTTCAGAAGTATTTCTCCATTGGGATAATAAAGTATATCTGAAAATTCTTTCCTTTTTTATATAAAAGAATGATTGATGGTATGGTATTACTGCAATGTGATCTCTATAGTGGCACTATCTTCTGCATTAAGGTTGGTCAGTGTTTAATTACAGATAAATCTAATTTGAACGCTAGCACTTCCCACTCATATTAATTGTAATTTCTACATTTTTCTCTTTCATAATGTGCCTCCGTGAATATCCCATGTCATCATTAATATGTGTGCGTGTGTATGTATGTAGTCCATCTGTACGATGGTTTGTTCAGCAGAGGAAAACTGTTAACTTTATGAATATTTGAGAGTATGTGGTTGTGGTTATTATTTTTATCGTGCTGCTGTACTGAGAGTATAAATAACTCAGCTCCCAAGAGGAAATTCAAAAGCAGCAACCATGAATAGATGGAAAAATTCTACACGTAATGAAAAAATAATTTCATAAATGACCATATGAGCAAAACTGGCCATAAAAACAAGTCCAGAATACATTTGATCCCCGATCTTTGTAGAAACTGTATACATTTCTCACAATGTAGGATTTCCCAAATTAAGATTCCAACAAGTAAACAATTATACTTAGCTTGTTATTTCAAACTGTGAATAGTATGGGAAAGTACTCTACTGGTTGAAGTTTAGGGAACCTTAAGACAAACACCAACAATAGCATTTATACAGTGCCCTTCACACGGGGTAGCATCCTGCAGTGCTTGACACCAGGGCATAAAGAATATTTTAGAGATGGATGGCAGATACCTTAAACATGACCACAATTTTGAATAGGTTCAAATCATAATAAGCACATAAGCACACATCGACAAACTTGCTACAGTTTTGGCAAGAGGAATTCCAAGCCATCTGTTCGTAAGTCACAAAGGTCAAAATCTAGGATACGGAACCTTACTGGAACTAGGTTTTGAACAGTTCAGAGTCAAAAGTACATTTTTATTTGTGGAAAAAAATGCATTTTAAGGTGATGAATGGTAGCATTGGGGGATGGACTTTTATGTTGTCTTTTCACCCAGTGACACAATTTAGTCATCACCATATATAAACTAGGTTAACACATAATTTGACGTTGTCGCTACACTGGACTTTACAACATGCCTTAATTTAAAACTCAAGAGGGCATTACTTACTGCACTTGCATTGCATTCGTATTTCCCACACCAGTCATGCTTTTCACTTCTCTGTGTGAGATTGCCCAACTCATGCCAATTAGTGCTGAATTATGGGCAGTTTTGTGCTTTCTGCTTCAGCCCACTGGGAACTGAGTTGAGACTGTCCAAACTCATTTATCTTAGGGACCTTAACAACTGTTAGATAGAGACTTTCATCTCATCAATCTAGACTTCATTTGAGCTCAGATCCCAGAGGTAAAAAAGCAATGTTCTAAAACACTGCACTATTCATTACTCTGAACCTTTAAAAAAAACTTACAAACTATCCTTTTACCTCTCGGTTAATCAAGCCCCACCTCAACCCCCCCCCCCAAAAAAAAAATTGTGGAGAATGGAAAGTCACTTGGGGGTTTTGGGGAAGCTTGCCTCCTCTTGCAACCTGTAATGAAAAGTAAACACATTTCCTTATCTGAAATTATCCTGTTCTTGGAACAGCAAGAAACAGGCTAATCTGAAAATGCCTTTTTGGAGTTGCCCCCAAAAAAATTCAGTGCTACTTTTCTTGGGAAATACACAGGATCACAAGGTTGGTTGGTATGAAGAGGACACTTCAGCTATTTGTTCTGATTCTTCCAGAATACCTACCTTCCCATCTTCCCATCGCAGCATCAAACTGCATCAACATTAAACAAGTCCAGTATCTTGGCCTCAACCAACCTTCCGGAAAACATTAAATAGAAAATAGAAACTGGGTAAAGAAATACTTCCTGGTGTTTGTCCTTTTTTACTCCAAATTTATCTTCTTTGCAAAGATAAGCTTGTTAATGTCTGGTATGATTGTACCATTCTGGCAGTATCTATATGATGAATGAATACACACCACTGAGGGAGTCCTGTAGCTCAGTGCAGCAAGCGAGAAACCTGAGTTCAATTCCAGGCAGGGCGAAATCTTGGGCAAGTTTCCTTACTCCACACGCCTAATAATAATCCCTCCAAAACAAAAAACAATAATAAATTGGTCATTTTCAATCTACGACTATTTGTGGGACACTGCTGTGCGCAATTGGCTGCCGTGTTCGCCCACAAATATACAGTCAATTAATTTTACAGTATATTCTGTGAAGCTGTTTGGGACGTCTAGAAGACGTGAAAAGCGCTATACCAAATGCAAGGATTATTATTATTTATTATTATTATAAATAGAAATACTTTGCATTGACTGCAATGAATATTGAATACATTGGCAAAATGGCAGAAATGCCTGACACAGTTACAGTTTCATTAAAGACAAAATACTACTTTTGTTTGTGTTTCCTTTATCCTGCCATACATTGGCACCTTCTTTTATAATGATGTTGAATACAGAGCCACAAGAAAAACAGAACAAACTGTTCACGTTTTATTTGTTCCTGCTAAGACATAAGTTGACTTCAGATTCTTTCTGTCTGTATCATAGAGTGAATGGGCTGTATTATTATATTCTTCAGCATCACCTTCCAATGAAGAGTGGTCAAAACTTTAATCTTTAATATCATTGTTATGTAATCCGATATTGGTTTATATTTTTAAAGTTGATTATGAAGCATAAAATATCAGACACATTTTTAATTCTTAAGATTTCTAATTAATTTCTTACACACCTCTAAAATATCCCCTCTGAGATGGCTCTATTCCCACTATTGGAGGATTGAGTAAAGATTCTATTTTCATATTTCATCTTGTTAAACCTTAAAAAGAATATTACAAATACAAAACTGGTGAGGGAGCTCACAGAACTAAAATAACTAGTCACGTTTTAGTGTTGGATGCTTAGTTATTTATTCAAATGCATCAGGAAAGTAATAGTATCCCAGGTTACATTGCAAACTGTTTAATGTATTATTTTCAAAATTATTTGTTTATAAATATAAACAGCATTTTTGACTCATGACACTCTCAAGCTGTGATAAAATGTACAATCTCAAACTGCTCAGGAGCCCCAGGAGAGTTGATTTATATATTTAACAAACCACGGATTTATTTATGCTTAGAAATATTACAGAAAGTTTCATTACACGATCTGTAGCTTTTCTTGTAATACTTGTACGTGGGCTTTGTGCCTCAGGACATTGATTTAATGGATAATGCTTCTGCTATTACTTGACATTGAAATTACACAGTGCAATAATGACATTTCAGGGAGACATGTACTCTTATGACTAACACATAATGTGTTAGCTGAGATTTATTATGAAACAGTAACTAGGAATAGATGAATTCAGTATTTTATAGCGGTTAGGAAACTTGGCTATTGCACATGTTCTACTAATATCAAATTATAACCATGATACAGTTAATGGGAAATTTGCTCCTTTATTGTGCAATAGTATAGCATTTTCAACAAGAACCTGCATATTGAAGAAAGGCACATTAGCTTTTCATGAAGCAAATTTGTTTTGCTCAGGACATCTCCAAACTGGATTATGTACTCAAAAGAGTAATTAGAAATTTACGCACAACAACAACTTGCATTAATAATAACACCCTCCGATTAGGAATAATGTCTCAGAACACTTACCAAATGTAGGTTTTTAATTTTTGATCAACCAAGAGAGACCCATGACATTGATTTACAATGACCCCTATCATAAAGTGCATTGTTTATAGCTTCTCACTAATAGATAACCCATAAAAATACCCAATTTATAACATGGCACACTTTATGACACAATTTATGTATTACTCTCTAAAACAGCATTTAAAAGTGGTCCACTGTGTATGCATTGGTTATGCAAAGTAAAACTAGCTTTTATCCTTACAGTTTACTTTGAAGGTTATAAAATGCAATACCATTTACATGATATACCATGTCTCTCAGGATCCCTACCCCATATGGTCTGCCTCCAAGTCCACAGTGCAGAACAGGCCCCACCGGAAAACCCCAGATCTTCAGAATGCCCATGTCTAGGTTAAGATCATTTATGATCCCTATTATCCACACCATCTGCTAAGACCCTCCTGACCTCCACCTTGATGTTTAGGTGGCCCTGGCAGTCCATGGACCAATGTCATCTGGTCCATAGTTGTCTGAA